ACGACGCTCTCTCTCTCTCTCTCTCTCTCTCTCTCTCTCTCTCTCTCTAAAATAGAAGGTGTAATAAAATCAGGAGTTGTTTTTTTTCACTCGCACATGTCGCTCATTGCCTAGTATGTAGTATGCTCGGTCTATCTATACTATATCTTTGGGACCGACCTGTCATAAAAGCGACCTTCAAATTTTCTGTAAAGCACTATCAATTATACGACGTTATCAAATATGCCATCCACGCGATCGAAAATCGATACAATAGACAGAAAATTATGGACATATTTCGAAAGACAAGTCCATTCATTTTCTATCATATCCATTAATTTGTTGGGATTTGTGATATCTGATTACGATTACATCTCGAATTTAGTACCGTCAAAATATAGGGCCCAAAATACTTTCTTCCTCATGTCACATTTTCTCTCGATATTATCGAGAAGATAATTGAGAGTTCGAAAATTCATCAATAGCACCGTTCCTGCACCAAAAATGAATCATGTTAATATCCACATTATTCAAGGGCCACTGAAAATTGGGACATGATAGTTTATCGGTAAGTATAGATATATCTTTTACTTACTTGATTTCATTAGTGTAATAAACTTATTCTCAATCAATTTAAATTTTTACGATACAACAATACATATATTTCAATAATCTATATCATTTCTTTGCTATATCATTAATCAGATAACATAAAATATCATGATTTGCAAAATATAACAGAAAATAGTTTTATTATAAAATTTATATTATAAAATAACTTTAAATAAAACAATATTACATTATAATCAATAATTATTATATAAATAAAATTATCAAATTTCAGATTAATTTATACATAAGTGTTTTATGATATATATATAATACATTAATGTGATATATACACATATAGTATAAGTATATTTATAACATGACAGATATAGATTTTTATTATAATATTTTATAATAGTTACTTGCATTATTATAAAACATATATATATATTTTTTTTCTTAAAATAGCAGTTTAATTAATACAAATATATAAGGATAATTTCTTTTGTTTAATATATTTTTATTTCATATATTTATTATGTATATATATTTATTATGATATATATATTTATTATGATATATATATTTATTATGATATTGGAAATTGTGATATATTTTGCAACATATTGTACTTTGAGACATACTAACTACTTTTTTATCAATAACAATTTTAATATTAGCAGCTTAATTACATCATTTTAGTTATTACTTATTCATAACTACGCAGTTTAGTGTATTCGTTCAGTTTTTACCAAGAAAACTTTGTTGTCAGACCTTCTTTTGGAATATTTCTTTATGAGTATTATTATTACTGTTTTGTTAATACTTTCCAAGAAGTTTATAAAAGATATATATGTCTACGTAAGTTTATCTATTATTTAATATATTTAAAAAACTGCATTTTTATTTTTGTTCAATTCTAATATATTTTTTTATATTTTAAGCGAAATTGTATCCAGAGACATGTAGAGACACTTTTAAAATGATAGACATATATTTCTAACTTTAATTTTTTTTAATCTAACTTTAATCTAAGAAAAATTATAATATTTTTTTTATGTTTTAATAAATATTTGTTTTAGGTTACGTTGTAAAATATTTAATTTTTTTCTTTATCTTGTCAACATTAATTTTATTTACATTAGAATTATTTATATTATTAGTAATTATAATATATAACTACTTATATTATATATTAGTAATAATAGTTTATAACATTAAGATAGTTTCTTTATTTAAATTTGTTAAATTTAAAATCTTATATAATAAAAAAATATAATAAAATCTTATATAAATAAAAGTATTAGGAAAAGATATATTTAGATATAATACTACACCTACCTCTAAATTTATCAAAGAAGATTTTCTATTCTGTGTATTTAATATACAAATATAATTTACGCACTTTTTTTTTATATTAATTATTCAAATATGGATAAGAAATAGACAATTATTGCTATTGCGTTTTCAGTCTGAACTTCCATAAAAGCAGGTACATATAAAGTTTTATACTTTCTTTACGCTTATCTGCTGTATAATAATGTATCATTTTCGATTCTAAATAGTTTAAAAAGAAACTGCTTGATTTACAAAGATATATATTTTGATATATTGATATTCGAGATTATTTCGATCAAAGGTCAACGTGTCTCTGTAATCTTTATCTTTTTAAATACTAAAACAATTTATAAAAATAAGATTTGCTAAGGGTCATGAATGACATTTTTTTATTATTTATGTATGTATTTGTCGATGTAATTATAATTAATTTTTTAATTCTATTAAAACATAATAAAATATTTATTAATTTTCTGAATATTTCAAAAAAGTTATATGCATTTTACATACGAGGGAAATAGTAACAAACATTTTCAAAAGAATTCACTATATGGATGTATTTTATATTCTATTATTAAATGTTGCGTATTTTTTTTGTTATTATTATTTTTTTGTAAACAAATTTTGTTATAAAAAAAATATAATATTTTCCAGACTTTTTTATCATCAAAGATAATAATCAGATAAATACAAATCTTATTTACTAATCAAAATATAAAAATTAATTTATGTAACTTTTTTAAACTTTATTACAATTTTTAATAAGACTTTGCAAAGTTTTAATACAATAAATTAATAATTTTTAGATAATTAAATATAATCCATTAACTATTTCAAAATGTTGTTTCCTCGTGAAATATCATAAATGCTTTTATAAAGCTTTAGATGTAATTTGATAAAATTATATTACATAGAACCGTTAATCTAGATAATTTCTAGATAATTTCTCATCAATATAATTTGTGAATAGCTTGCTGCAAACAATCGCAATTATTAATACTGGCACAATTACTGATAAATCTCTCCAGTTATAATCTATAATTTCTCGTTACTCGTACAATATATTTTTTTTCAGTTCTTTATTAATTATTGCGCTAGCATATGACGTTTTATGAAAGCAACGGGATATGATAACATAGTTTTATATGAAAAATGATAGTATCATCATCGGCAAATCTTTGATAAGATATCGATGATATTGTAGATAATATTAACACAGTAACGAAGAGCAAAAGGCATTTAACAATCTCTCATTTGATCGAGAATTATTCGCGCGAAACATTCATCTGGAAACGTGCTGTGAAAATCGGATATATCATTTGTCCGTGATAGTTGTGCGACTAACTCTCTTTGTACCTTATAACTTATTTCATCTGACGTGATTAAAATATTAATAAAAGTGAAATAATTATTCTACATTGCGATATTAATTTATATAAACACTCGCTTATCTATACTGATAAAATTACGAATATTCATAACGTTGTGAAGTAAAATATAAAGCCATGAGAAAACGAGTGCATTAATAGTGAATGTAATAAAATTCTAATGAAGGTAAGTGCAATAATTGCTGTCAACTAACTCTTTCATTTTTTAAACAAAGTCGTTTTAGTAAAATGAAATATGAATGTCGATAAAAAAATCTTAATAGCGTTATATCTTACGAATAATATATATTTGTTTGATTTAATGCGTATACAAATTTGCAAAACATTTTAATCGTTCATTGAACGCTATTTGTTTTCTATTTATAAATAATTATGGCACGGTAATATATTAAAAAATGATAAAATATTGATCGATCGATGCGACGTAATTAACTGATTGCTAACTGCATAAAGAAATAATACATATGTTCACGAATATAAGTCCTTCATATAGTTTCGAATATAAGATCATACTTCATCTTTCAGATGAGGATCTTTTGGAAACATTTGTTTCTTTGCACCCTGATCACATTATTCAGCAGAAACGCAGCAGACAAATCTCCCCCTTACGATGGTAATTCCACTTATATATTTTATATGTAATACGTTATGCTTCATATCAATTTATCTTTCAAATGATAACTACAAAGAGAATTTAAACATATAACATTATATAATATATAAAATGATATATTTTTACATTTTACGAACAATGCATTTTCTTTAAAACTTGTCCAGTAAAATAAATCTCCTTAATTAATTTTATGAAATCGTATATCGAAAATTTTATATTGTTATAAAATTTAATTTAATATCGCTAACAGAAAAATTTACTTATCTCATATTTATCGAAGAATCTATATATGTCTTTAAATTGATACGAATACATTGATTATAGTTTATGGAATTGTATAATCAGTTTTGCAAGAACGTATCACTTTTTGAAATAAATTATTTCCTTTTTATATAAAACTTTTAGATAACTTATGTAACTTATATTTTGCAGGAACGCTTGTACAAAATGAGAATTCTTCACAAGATGATGATTCCAATGACTATAGATTACCAAATACTGTTAAACCCCTTTCATACGATATTAAATTTATTCCAGACTTAGAAAGTAGTTTTACATTTAAAGGCTACGCCAAAATTGTTGTTGAAGCATTAGAAGAAATTAACAATGTTACGCTGCATGTGGGAAATATCAAAATTGAATTAATAACTATAAGCTCATATGACCTTAAAAATTTTAATGAGACATATGACAATACTACCGAAAAACTCACTCTTCATCTTCCAAAAACTATCAAGAAAGGTAGAAAACTAGAAATTAATTTTGAATACACCGGAATCTTATCTGACAATATGATTGGATTTTATAGAAGTTCTTATATCGAAAATGGAACTACTAAGTAAGTGCTACATTGATTGCATTTTATTTGATGAAAATAGAAAAAATAATAAATATACAATAAATATTATTATTTATCATAATGCAACTTTCTGATTAAAATTATAGATGGCTAGCTGCGACACAATTTCAAACAACACATGCGAGACATGCTTTTCCATGCTTCGACGAACCGAATTATAAAGCAACTTTTACAATTCGTATAGCAAGAGGTACCAATTACGTATCCCTCAGTAACATGCCATTGCTAAATTCTGAACAATTGTAAGTGATAAAAAAAACTTGTGATCGTCAATGTGCCGTCAAGTGACTTTTTACTTCTCACTAATAATATATTTTGTTTTTAAGAGCGCCGGGAGGCAAGATATGGGATGTTTTTGAGCAAACTGTTCCAATGCCCACCTACTTAGTAGCCTTCGTTATTTCGGAATTTAAAAATTACTCCAATGAAGCAAACAATTTTACAGTATGGTCCAAACCATCCACCATTAATCAGACTAATTATGCTTTGGATATCGGTATTCGAGCCCTCGAGCTATTCCACAAAAAGTTCAACCAAGAGTATGTGCTCCCTAAAATGGACATGATAGCCGTACCTGACTTCTCAGCAGGAGCTATGGAAAATTGGGGATTGGTGACATATCGCGAGTCCCGAATGCTGTACGACGAAGAAGAATCATCGGCGTTGGCACAACAAAGTGTAGCTTCTGTGATTGCTCACGAGCTTACCCATATGTGGTTCGGAAATTTGGTAACGCCAGAATGGTGGAGCTATCTTTGGCTTAGCGAAGGGTTCGCCCGATACTTCCAATACTTTGGCACTGCGGAGGTAAGACCGATATTTAGCATTTTTCACTGCTTACACAATTAATAAAACCATCAACATAGTTGAAATATTAAATATAACTAATTTTGAAAAAAAATCTAAATTTGTATATTCACTGTAATTTTTTTTGTGCAATTTTAATCTACTTTTAATTTAATCGTATATTGGATTAATATTTTTACAATAAATTCGTATTGACATTACAATGTCAGCAATACTAAGAAAAAAGTTAATATTTTTACATTTTTTTAATAATATTTTGCAATTAATTGCTAAATTCTATTTTTATGGTCTACTATTTTTATTTTGTCATAGCTTGAGGACAAATGGGATATGGACAAACAATTCGTAGTGGAGCAACATCAGTCTGCATTAATAGCGGACAGTGTTGAACCGTCTCTTCCGATGACTCGCCCAGTTTTGACTACATCGCAAATCGCAGGGGTAGGAGATACCATTACCTATAATAAAGGAGCCAGTATTATCCGTATGATGAACCTTATATTCGGACCCGAAAAGTTTAAAATGGGATTACAAGCATACATACGAAACAAGTAAATATGAAATTAATTAAGTATACTTTAAACATAATTAATGCTTAAAAATCTAATTTAAGATTACTCTTGGAAACAATATAATGGTG